AATTTGAACCATACCTAAATTGTTAACTTTTTTTTTATTTAAAATTTTACCTAATTTTTATTAAAAATGGTGATAAGTTTTGCGTGCCCACAAGTGTATGTACATACATATGTATTTAGATATACATACATGCGTACAAAAAAGTCTAGTTACTTTAGAATGAGCCGATTTTTTTTGCTACTCAACTCAGCATTTGATAATTTCCCTATATATAGGCGATACTCTAAGTCGAGAAGAGCCCTGCTCAAAAGCAGCTACTACCTTACTACCTTCTGGGCCGCCGATTCAGTCTGTTCAATCATTTCCCTTTTGGTTGGTTATATAATTTCTTTATTCCTCAGTTAGTGCCGTTTCACATGCTCTGGTTTTCGGTTAACCGACCGTCTGATGGCCGACTCAAAGTGCATGTGCAGTTATTAGGACCTTCACGAGAACAGGTGCATGACGATTTCATACATTTTGTGCTGGCAAATCGGCTGCGGTTAACCGGGAATCGGAATGTGCTAAACAACGACACTTAGTAATCCGATTCAACCTAATGCCCATAAGTTTATGCTATTCACTGTTAATGGTTATTTTTGCGACTTATGTTCACAATTGCCACTACCAAGTATATGACAAATAAGTTAATAAACTTTTAAGTATTCATTAAGGAAACGCAAAAATTTAATTTTACATACATAAATACATACGCAAGCACTTGTTTATTATGCGTTTGGAAAAATTTATGCATTTTCTTAAATTAAATGTCAGGTTCAAGTTGAACATTCTTCTACATAGTGGGTGTCGTCAATTACGTTCAGGCATGTGGGAAATTCTTAGAACAGCATTCAAAATACTTAAAAAAAAATAACTATATTTGTAGCTACCCTGAGAGAAAATTACTCACAACCCAGTTGCTGTGAAAAATGTTTTCCATATACCATTATGAAGTATGTAAGTGTACTAAGTGAGATCATTTGTGGAAAGTAGAAATATATCTAGACCAAAGGCCAACCTAGTGTTCATGGACGTACATACATAACAAAGCGGAAAGTTCTGTGAATCAGCTCTACATGACAGGAAGCTGGGCATTTGACAACAATAGCTTTGACTCTACACGGCCAGGAAGCATTATATGGACGAAACTGTCATAAGGTGGATACACTTCATGTTATCTAGGAGATTGCAGACTGTGGGTGAGGAAACTGGCCACTATGGGCAAAGGTTGGGAAAGAATGCCACCAGGGTGGGGTATTGCAGTCTGTTTTGTGTTTTTTGGCAGTGGAATCTCTATTAACAGAAACGCAAGGATTCGTTCGCATCCAACCTTACGCGGATGATGTTTGTGGACTACCAACATGAAAATCTCTCAGGAAGTTCTGTGTAAACATTGATGAATGGTTCTCTATTCAAGTCTTGCTCTCAACCTCAAAGGTACAACCCTAGGCATGGTTATGCGGAACATAAAGTCGGAAGATCTCAGCCTGCCAGTGCTTAGAAGCGTAAACCTAAGTCTTTTTGCGGAAGTACAAAGAAGTGTTTATAGGCATTACGGGCGTCATGAGTACAATGTCAGGATCGGGTCTTAATATTTTGTTTGATTTGTTGCCCTCGGATTTAGCAATCCTAAAAGAGTGAATGAAAACACTGTGTCGGCTACATTCTTTTGGATTGTGGCAAAACGATTGAAGTTTCGACCACACAGAGGTTTTTAGAAATTTCTCAAAGCAATACTTTGGTTTTTAGTCCCGAATAATGAAGCTGATATCTGGGGTATCTTTGGGAAGGAAGCAGCTTCCTTACAAAGGAGTAGTGGATAGATCTAGATAGTCTCTTGGTGGGCTCGACAAAAATATTCTACACCGACGGCTCCAAAACTAAAAATGGTACCCGAGCTGAATGACACCTAAGCAGCAGTAACTTCAGATGCTTTACTGCTTTAGGTATAATGACAAAGATCTTTCAATCGGAAGTCGTTGTAATACTTAAAGCAGCAGACTGGATAATTGGCGACAAGTGGTAGGGTCTGCAGTGACAACCAAGCGTTTCTAAAGTTCGTGGAAACCGCTCGCAGCTTTTCAAAAATAATCAAGGAATATAAGTTAAGCCTGCATCGCGTTGAAAAGTAGAACGAACTTGAACACGACTAGGTTTCGAACCATTAGGGAATTCAAAGCAACGAACTAACAGATGATTTGGCAAACTGCGGTTCATTGAAGCGTTCCTTTCTACAGGATCTATTTTCGTGCCAAGAGTAGCGGGAACATTAAAATCTTTGGTACTGTACTGGCATCTGTAAAGCAACCAGGTGTTTTCTGAAAGAATCAGACAGAGCAGTTCGAAAATTCCTTCTCAAATAGGACGGAGTGAGCTACGAGTCCTGATAGAATTGATTACTAGGTGCACAATCCATAAGGATGGCATGTAGTCAATATAGGCAGCATCAATGATAAACTGTGTACATAGATCTTTTTTGGAAGTTGAGCATAGTATGGAACATTTTCTCAGCCATTTTTCGGCATTCGCCAGACTTATGTGGTACATTTTAGGACTGGATGGATTGAGAATTCAATCGACAAACTGCTGGACCTTAACTACCATAGGCAATATTGCCCAAGTGCCTGGGGAAAATAAGTTTTATGATTTATCTGCCCTTTAAACACAAATTTTGTTCTGACAAAATATGTTTGAAGGGCAGTTACATTTTAAAAGCTACTCAAGAAAACGGCACTTAATATTGAAGTACTGAAAAACACATGTGTAACATGTTGCTAAGGGTAGTCTGAAATCAAAACCGACGTATGTATATACATACCTATGAATAACTAAAATGAACAATTAAAAAAAGAATAAATAATACAACGCCGGCTAGCAAATTAAATTTGTTTCAAGGATGCGCTGCCATGGTTATCTCAAATTTCGCCATGCACTTGAACGTTAGCGTTGCTGGGAAAGTACAGTAGTTGCTGGCTAAATATGCTGGGCAAAAGTTTTTACAACAACGCTACTTTGAGTTCAAAGCGAATCAAAAAAAGTAAGGATTACTTAAAAATGGACGATCTCCTATTACACTTTCAGATAGCACTAAAAATCAACTTAAAAAAGAAAATAGTAATAAATAAAATACCCAGAAAGTAGGCATCATAATGCGTAAAATAAACTTCACACCTTCCGTGTGGTTGTAAAGCAAATTAGAGTTTAGGTGCTTGACATTGGCATTTGTTGCTCCAATATAAAATCATATGTTTATATTTTTATGTTTGTATATAAAAAGGGGAAAAAATTTAAAATGGTTTCACACATCCTTTTTGTGTTCCAGTATATAGTGCTTATCATAACTATACGACACTGACATATTAACCAGCTTTGACGATTTATTTCATTTTTTTTTTCATAAAAATATAGTTTATTCTTTAACAGACATTTTATAAATCCAAGTTTCATACTTTGTGCAATATTAAAAAAAAAAAATCAAAAAACTTTCGAAAAAATGTTGAGCATTTTAATTCGACTTCTTACACAAATTTTTAGTTTGAGCGGTTTGTTGGCTATTCAATATTAGTGCAGTAAAGTGCAAGAAGAAAAAGAAAGTTAAAGTTTGAAGTAGCTGGGAGTTATCGATGATTTTTGGCATTTTTTCGAAGATGTTGCTCATTTCCTCCATCAAAGCTGTACACTTCAAATATTTCCAAGAAACATTTTTAGCAAGCTCAAAAATTGTACGAAATTTGTTTTTTTTTTTTTTAATATTTTAACTCATTAAAAAAAAAATCGTCGAACATACTTTGTACAAAGCTTTACACTTCAAATCTAATCTATTCAAAAAGCTCAAAATTTTTATGAAACTTGGATTTCTATAGTTTCTGTAAAGAATAAACTATAGTATGTTTTTTATACAAAAAAAATGGTTGAAATTAAAAAATAATGAAATAAATACTCAAATCTTGTCAATATGTGAGTGTCTCATAGTTATGTTATGCACTATAGTACTTCATTTACTATTTCATAGCTTACTTGTTTTCCTACTCATTTACTAAAATATTCTTTGCCTCATTCATACATTTCATACACGCACGTTTAATATGGGCACCACATGCAATTGCTTTTGTTGTTGATATTACATTAAATATTATAACTGGCGCCAACTGTTACACAACCATGCTATGCTGCCGGGTGATATCAAATTACCGGGCTTCCAATATATTTAACACCTTCACCTTCTTTAGTGTTAATGAAATTTCTTCAGTTTTGTTTTTGTATTGCATAAGTATTTGCGTTTGGAAAAAACTTGCTTTTTACAGGCAACTTTAAGTATGTACGTACACATTTTTGCCTACTGTGGCTTTTATAACTACAGGAAAGCGTCGCAGATCACTGCATTGCAGACTTTCTAGTCGGTGGTAGCAATCTCGACCGGTTCCAAAATTACTGGAAAAGAAATTTTAGGATAGCATTTTTTAAGTCTATTTCACTACTTCTACTATTTTGTAATCCTTTTTAAGTACTTGGCTACTTCCAATAAGTTGAGAAGTCACGAAGCGCTCTTAATTTCATAGATGTCGTTGGGTTCTAGTAGTGTAGTAGGAGTAGTGCCTAGTGTCGTTTTCAAAGTGGAGAAGTAACTCATATTTAGAAGTTAAGTCTAGACTTTCCGTGCGAACATGTAAAGTTAACTGCTGAATGTGAGTTAAATCCCCACTGTAAAAACGCCGCTTAGTCTGAGGCGAATTTGCGCGGAATTTGATGAGTGGTTGGGCTAAAACAATTGAAAATAAAAATGTACTCAGAAACTATTGAGATTTGCACGTACAAAAGAAAGTCGAATTTTCCATATGCTTTATGCTAATATTGTGAGCACCTAATTTTATTTTATAATATCCTAAATTCTTATGTACATTTGTACGTATTTTTTATTCATAAAATTTCTTTTCTTTCTCTTTTTAATTTTATTTCAATCAACTAATCAACTAATTGAACAAATCTCTCCCACTCCTCTCTCTCTCTCTCTCTCTTTCCAGGAATTATGACACTGAGCCGTGGCCCGTACAGCGAGCTCGATAAAATGAGCCTTTTTCAGGACCTAAAACTGAAACGACGAAAAATCGATTCAAGATGCAGCAGTGATGGCGAATCAGTAGCCGATACCTCCACCTCCTCGCCCGATCTACTCGCACCGATGTCACCAAAAATGTGCGATACCGGCGGTGCCGGTGCTGGCGGTGGCGGCGGTGGTCATGGAGGCGGCGTCGTCGGCGGCGGTGCACTCTCCGTCGTCACCTTGACCGCCACCTCCACCATTGCGCCCGCCACCGCCTGCTCGACCAGCAGCAGCGGCATGCCAACTGCCACCAGCAGCAATATCGGTCACAATGTGTGTGCGCCCATGCCGCCAAGCGCCGCCACCACAACGGTAGTTGTGTCCGCTAGCAAGGCAGCAGCTGTGAAAGCTGAACAAAAACATCAGCAGCAACAGCAACAGCAGCAGCAACAACAACAACAGACTGAAATTCACTCGTCCAGCGGCACTGTTAGCGCAGCGGCCGCCTCGTCTGTGATGTCACCGCCACTAACCACAACTGTGCGCATGTCACCTGCGCCCGCGACTGATCTGAGCTTGCCAGCAGGCCGTCGTACGCCTAGCAATGTCACTACGCCTACGCGAACTACGCCAACACCACCGCATAATAATGGCAATGCGAGCAGCAGTTGTGGCACAAGTAATAATGGTGGTAGTAGTCGCGCCTCGCCAGACTCCATGGATGAGCGGCCCTCCACGACCACAACAACAACAACGGGCGGCACGCAGCTGTCCACAAATGGAATGCATGTAGCTGGCAGCGGTGGTGCTGGCGGCGATTGCATGCAGGGATCTGCGGGCGCCGAGTGTGGAGTTAGCAATTTAAGTGTCATACGCTCAGTGAAGGAAGAGCGCATAGCTGCCTCGCCCACGAAAATGCTATCCTACCAACAGCACCAGCATCATCAGCAGCAGCAACAGCAAATGCAATATCAGCAGCACGCGCAGTCCGCGCCATCACCAACTCAATCCAAAGGTCTCACGCAGTCGCAGCAGCATGTCACAGTGCTGGTGACGCCGTCACGTATTAAGTCTGAATCAGCGTCGCAGCAGCATCATACGCAGCAAATGCCGCCAACTTCATTGCAACATCTGACACACCACCACCCAGCCTTCTCTACGTCTGTGGCCACTGCGTCCGCCTCAGCTACATCATCCTCCTCCTCCGCCGCGACGGTGACTACAACTAGCAGCGCTAGTACATCGTCACTACACGCTAGCTCGCCATCGCCCACGCCATTACCATCATCCGCGGCGGCAACGTTGCATCACCAACATCTACATCACCCGCCGCCGCCAATCGTGCAGACCCATCACCTGCACCAACAGCTCACACAACCGCAGCTGCGGAAGAGCAGTCCGCCAACAGGTATGAGTTTACCGCAGCAGCACCTGCTCAACCAATCCATGCAGCACTTGACGCAACAGCAGCAATTCCAGCTGCTGCAGCAAGCAGCCGCGATGTCGCAGCGTCCAACGCAAATGTCGCCTAACGCTATGAGTTCATCGCCTGGCGCGCGACATCAGTCATCGCCACACCAGCATCTCATGCAGCAGCACCAACAACAACAACAGCAACAGCAGCATCAACATGCTCGCATCAAGAAGGAGCCCGCGCAACTGCTAGCCGCCGCCGCCGCCGCAGGCAGCTTGTTGGGTAACAGCGGCGTCGGGCAACGCCACTTACACTCACCACATCACCACCACCCTTCATCGCCGCAGCACCAACAACAACAATCAGCGCCGCAGTTGCCGCCACAGACGCTGGGTAATATCGCACAGCTGATACATCCAGCCTCACTACAGTCGCTACGCCATCCCAGTCGAGATGCCGGTATACTTTTTCGCGTGAAGAACGAGGTGCACCAGCAGGTGGCCGCCGCGCAGCTCATGCAGCCAGGTGCTGCTGCCGCCGCCGCCGCGGCTGCACAACGCATGGTTTGGGTATCGAACGCGCGCATAAACGGCGTCAAACCGGAGGTAATAGGAGGACCGTTGGGTAATCTGCGGCCTGGTGGACCCGCGCAATCACCTTCGCCACATCACTCTTCATCCTCCTCGTCATCACAGCTGTCACCACAGACGCCTTCGCAAACACCGCCCCGCGGAACTCCGACCGTCATCATGGGTGAAAGTTGTGGCGTACGCACTATGGTTTGGGGCTACGAGCCGGCGCCCCCCACAGCAGGTCCATCACCTACACATGGCGGCAGCAGTAGCAATAGTGGTTCGAGTGGTATGCATCAAACACCGCCTTCGACGCCATTGCATCAACATGGGCAACCACTGTTGCAGCAACATCCGCCATCCTCTATGTCTTCGCTCTCCCAACAGTCGCATCACTCATCACAGTCATCACTGCAGTCTGCGTCATCGCCCTCGGCGGGCTCTCTTACACCGACACACACGCCTGGTCCATCGCTGCAAAACAACGAAGAAGCGGCGCAGCTATTGCTCTCGCTCGGCCAGACCCGCATACAAGATGTGCGACCACGCCCTCACCAATTTCGCACGCCACATGCGCTCAATATGGAGCGGCTCTGGGCGGGCGATTACTCGCAATTGCCGCCTGGACAAATTCACGCACTAAATTTGAGCGCGCAACAGCAGTGGGGTAGCTCAAATGCGACGGGTCTGAGTCGAGGCTTAGATGCGCCACATGAGCCCACAGATGAGGACGATCAGCCGTTAGTGTGTATGATTTGCGAGGATAAAGCGACTGGTTTGCATTACGGTATCATCACATGCGAAGGGTGAGTAGAGTGCGCCATAAGAGTGATTGCCTGTGTTTCTAAATTAATTTTTTTCTTACAGTTGCAAGGGCTTCTTCAAGCGGACAGTGCAAAATCGGCGCGTCTACACCTGCGTAGCTGATGGCACTTGCGAAATAACCAAAGCACAACGGAACCGGTGTCAGTATTGTCGATTTAAGAAGTGTATCGAGCAGGGTATGGTGCTGCAAGGTGAGTTGAAGAAAGACTCTAACAAGAGTGGCCTGATGACCTACAGCCAGTATAGCCAAAAGGCCGTACTTCGATACCAGCAGAGTATGAATCTTGAGAGGAAAAGTGCTCGTAGCATTGCTCTCGACTCATTACGTGCCTATTATTTTTTCGTTCGGTTATACCACCGGATTTTCTTGGCAACATATTGAAAACGCTGAAATTTCAGAAAATGTTTAAGTCTTTTAAGCATTTGAAGTACTGTTTGTTAGATGAGAGGAAAATATTTTTTCATTAATCTGTGAACAGTCCAATCTTTTTACTCACTCATTCGTCGGTCAGTTGGCTATTATTTTTTCAATAAAAAATTTCGCGGTTGGACTAGGCTTTACTGGAGTTGACTTGCCTAACCTGCAGCATACCTCAGTCTGTATCAGTGAAAGAATATCTGAGTAAAACTCACGGAGTGTAAACCTTATTCTCAAAAATAAATGGTGTAATTTCTTGAACTTCAGGTTCAGGGACTCAAGGACGAGCATAAAAATAGGCGATTAGATAATAGATGATAAAATGAGGTTTGCACCGCGACCTAGTGGTCTATTGTGCCCCGAAATAGGCCATTACGCAAAAGCTCAACAATTCGTATACTACATCCTTAGCGAATGAGCTTCGTGCCGATTTATAGTAGAGCTAGATGGATAGATCTGGACCATAAGGCTGGGCCAGTTTAGACACGACCTCGTTAGAAGGCTTAATTGAGCTCTGATTTTCTTCAAGTTTAAGTACCACATCTATTCAGCCAAATTTCATGGAGCTTTACGTACAAGCTTTCTAAAAAGTCTCAACATTTGATGTATGGTTTTCAAATTTCACACTCTGGTTAAGAAAACCTTTTTTCCTACTCTACTTTTAACATCCCACTGACTCCTTTTCCATCTTCCAGCCGTACGCGAGGACCGAATGCCAGGCGGTCGTAACAGTGGCGCCGTCTACAATCTCTACAAGGTGAAGTATAAAAAACACAAAAAGTCCAAGCAGCAACAGCAGCAACAACAACAACAGCAACAACCGCAACAGCAACACATGCATTCACCACACCATCAGTCGCCACTCTCTCCACACCACCAACAACATCTGCTCTCGCCACAACAACATCTGCATCAGCATCAACAACAGCTGGCAGCAGCTGCCGCAGTCGCTGCAGCAGCTCAGCATCAGCACTCGAAGCTCTTGAGCGCCACGCTGGGACAGAGCGAGATGAAGTCAATGTTTTTGGGGCCTTCCGTCAAGCAGGAGCACTTACAGCAGCAACAGCAGCAACAACATCATCAGCATTCGAAGCTGCTGAGCGCGACGCTGGGACAGAGCGAAATGAAGTCCATGTTCTTGGGGCCTTCCATCAAGCAGGAGCACCTACAGCAGCAGCAACAACAGCAGCAGTCGGCGCAGCTGAATTCGCCACACCAGCAGCAGCTACTTTCGCCGCACCACACACTGCATGGCTCGCCGCATGGCGCACTGCCGCAACACTCGTCAGCCAGCGCCTTGCACAGTCCACTCTCGCATGGGCCTCCCTCACTGCCGGCACACACTTCCTCCTCATCCTCATCTTCATCGTCGGCATCATCGGGTGGCAGCAGTGGCTCGCAGCAGTCGTCGTCGCATCATGCGCTTCACTCGCCACATCATCCGCTGACGCATGCGCATCACATGCAGTCGAATGCGTCACATACGCCACATTCACAACAACTGCATCAGCAGCAGCAACAACAACAACAACAGCAACAACAACAGCCGACACAGCTGCAGCAAGAGACTGCCATCAAACTGCCCTCGCATTTGGTTAACGGTACAATACTTAAGACTGCACTCACGAATCCCAGCGAAATCGTGCATTTACGCCATCGGCTCGATTCGGCGGTGAGCTCGTCGAAAGATCGGCAGATCTCTTACGAACACGCGCTAGCCATGATTCAAACGCTCATCGACTGTGACGCCATGGAAGATATTGCCACACTGCCGCACTTCTCCGAATTTCTCGAAGACAAATCGGAAATCAGCGAGAAACTCTGCAATATTGGCGACTCCATTGTGCATAAGCTGGTGTCATGGACGAAAAAGTTGCCCTTCTACTTGGAGATACCCGTCGAGATACACACGAAGCTGCTGACAGACAAATGGCATGAGATACTCATATTGACGACAGCAGCATACCAGGCGTTGCACGGCAAGCGCACCACACCCAGCACCACGACGGCGGGCAGCGGGGGAACTACAACGGCGCACGCTTCGTCCACCACCAGCTCGAGTGGCCGCTCTAGCGTCGGTGCGCCGCCACACTCGCCTGCCTCTGCCAATCATCACCACAACCATCCTACGCATCATATGGCCAGTTCGCCGCATGCGGCGAGTAGTAGTCTGAATTTGCCACATCATCACCACCATCAAATGCACGCAGCCGCGACACCACCACCACTGCAGAAGGACGATCCGGAGTTTGTGGACGAAGTGAATGCGCATCTAAATACGCTGCAGACGTGCCTCACCACGCTGATGGGTCAGCCCATAGGCATGGAACAGCTAAAGTTAGACGTTGGTCACATGGTGGATAAGATGACGCAGATAACGATCATGTTTCGGCGCATCAAACTCAAAATGGAGGAATACGTTTGTTTGAAGGTGTATATTTTGTTGAACAAAGGTGAGTAGGGAAAATGTGAAGTGTGCAACGAGTTTTCCATGCTACAATAACAACTAATTGCATTTGTTTGTGTGCTATCTTTCTCCCCCTCTTTGCAATGCGTATTTTCCATCTTTAGCAGAAGTGGAACTGGAGAACATACAGGAACGTTATGTACAGGTGTTACGCACCTATTTGCAACACTCCTCGCCGCAGAATCCGCAAGCGCGACTCACTGAACTGCTGTCGCACATACCAGAGGTAAGTTTTGGAAGCCGTGAGTAGAGAAATGCGCGCTTTTCGCTAGGTATAGCGACGATAAGGCTGACTCTGGCATATCCGCAGGCCTAGTGCGCTTGTCAGTTTGGTAAAATGTAAGCGAATGTCACTAAGTTGCTCTTTAATATCCGCCGCGATAGCACTGCAGAAAACTCTTCTAGAACCTCTGATGATCCATAAGTTTTGTTGGCTGTTTAATCAATGAATTCATACCAACTAATTTAATCAGGCATCTTAGGTGCTTAATCTAGGTTGATTAGACTTCGGGGCAAATCCTGCACGAGAAGGAAGTTCTAGCCTTTCGTGAGTTCTATAAAAGTTACTACACAACAGGATCTCGAATTCTCTTACTCCCACAGTACTGCTTCTCTTGACATAAGCAGATGTAAAGGTCGAAGGACTAAAATGGTTTCCAGGCTCTGGGTATGGATCGGAGATTAACTGCCTTGCTACAAAGGGCGTTGATACATACATCCTACGCACATAGTTTTATATGCTAATTGGGGTATCAACATTCTCTTCTTCTTATCCAGATCCATAATAATTTTTACTTTTAAATTTTTTTGAGCAAAGTAACTCACAATTAGTCTATTTCTCTCCCATCAGATCCAAGCTGCTGCTAGTCTATTGCTCGAAAGTAAAATGTTCTACGTTCCCTTCGTTTTGAATTCGGCCAGCATAAGGTAGCAAATGCTTGAACGTGGACTACTGCCGATCGATGATGATCCGCCCAAGGGGTTGATGATGATAAAGCAAATACAACAGCAGCAGCAACAAAATCAAGAGCAGCCTGATGACGATGAGGAAGAGCAAAATGCAGAGCAACCGCAACAACAAAGCAACCTAATGAAAGCGCGAAGGCGCGCAGCCACGGAAATGGCTGAGCGCCAGCAAAGGCAGAGGGAGGAAGATTTAAAAAAGCAGCAACAGCTAACCCAGCCACAGCAGCAAGAACAACAACAGGAACAGCAGCAGCGACAGGCGAGGTTTTGTTTACCCACGCTGGAGTTGCCAAGAATCAAGGTGGAGGCCGTGCAACAGCATCTGCGCTATTCGATGGAGGAGGACGAAGATGACGAGGAAGAGGAGGAAGAATTGCGAAATATGGCGGAACAGCATGAGCAGCAACAACAGCGCGAACAAAGCGCTGAAGACGAGCAACTTAAGCGTCCAATGACGCACCTCATAGAACCAACCACCTCCATATTGAAGACTTCACTGCTGGCAGGTGCTGCGCAAACATTGGCAACGTTGACGGCAGCTGCAGAGCAGGTTAGTCGTACGGCACAGTCGCCACAGGCACAAAGCGGCAGAGCGAGCGCTAACGCCGGTGCGGGCGCGCTGGCTGGCCGCAGATCGCCGGCGTCGGCGGCAGACAATAGTCTGATAGAGAGTAAAAGACTGCAAGCACAACACCAACAACAACCACAAAAACATCAACAATCAGAAGCACGCGAGCAAAACGCGCCTGTAATGCCTTACAAATCGATATTGCAAACAGCGCTTATGGGTGAGCGACCGCCAAGATCTTCGCCGCCACTGCCGTCGTCCGTACCAATTATTGTGCGTGCGCAACCAACAGCAGCGCAGCCACCGCCACCACATGTGATGAAAACAGCGGTGACGCTGGCGAGTCTCAGTGAAATCGCGGCCGCGCGCCAACAGCAGGAGGAGGAAGAGCGTCTATTTCGCGAACAACAGCAGCAAAGACATCAACAACAGCAGCATTTATTGTTACAACAAACACTGCCATTGAAGAAGAAGAAAAGTTTTTTGCAACAAAAGTTAACAGCCACTTGCAACATGCTGACAACAGCGGCAACGATATTGCAGCAGCAGCAACAACAGCAACAGCAACAACAACTGCCGACACATGCAACACTCCCGCAACAGCCACAAAATTCGATTACCATACTGCCAGTCAGCAACAACAACAATGCCAGCACAACTTCATCAGCAGCAACAACAGCGAAAATTGTTTTGAACAATGTAACAGTAAGTGCGAGCGGCGGCAGCGTATTGCGGTGCATTTCGACTGCAACAACGTCGACAGCCGCCTCTACAACAACAACGGCGCGCACGTCCGCCGCCTGTTTGAGTAGCGCGCGCTCAACGACAACATCGGCGCTAGGCAGCAGCAAAGCCAGAAGTACCACAGGCAATGCCAAAAGTGTTGCGACCAGCAGCTGCCAAGCGATGGCCACACAAACAATCAAAATACCAATGGTGCGCACAGCGACGGTAACAACGCAAACGCAAACCGAAGAAATGCACACAGCGACGGCTATGGCAACGCCAACAACAACAGCAAATTGTGAGAAGCAACAGCAGCAAAATGCGCCGTTAAGTACGCGCTCCACCAGCAGCCATGTAATTACACGCAAACTCAGCACTGCTTTGCATCAGCAGCAGCAGCAGCAGCAGCGTACTGCGTCTAGCAGCAACACATCTGCAACATTACTATCACTGCCACTCCAACAGTCCAGCCTAACGCGCCGTCCCTCACCTCAACGCCAAACCACATTAGTCACTGCCACAACGAATGCGGCTACCACATGTGTCGCCGCCGCCGCTCCGCCCACAACCACAACCACAACCACTGCCACAGTCACAGCCACCGCTGCCTCGCCCTCCACAGCTGTTACTGTTGTTGTTTTTAAAACATTGTTACCTGATGACTGAATTAATTAATTTTTAATTGTTAACAAAGCAAAAACACTAAAGCAAAAAAAAAACGAATTGCTGATGAAAGCTTTGGCAGAAAGCTTACCATGTGCGAATTTAGAATTGGAGCTCCCATATTCTCAACTCCGCAACTCCATGTTAGCTGTTTTTGTTTACTATAATTATAGGTATTTGTATTTGTTCTAGGTTTTAAGTACATTAACTAGTATTTAGCCACGCACTCGCACTATGCATGCTTCCTGCGCTAGACTACCGCTGCCCTTTGCTACAAAGCCCACCCCGAAAATGATTTCGCAATTTATGGAGTTTTTTTTAGTGAATTTTGCTTGCTTTTCGAGTGAAATTATAGATTCCCATGGGAGGTGGTCAAAGGCTTGGTAAAAATTAACAAAAGTATCGTGAAAGTTCATTTAGGGCTCTTGAGTTAGTGCTAGACTATTTTTAGAGGACTTAGGAATTTGGAATTACTAAAAGTTTCTTAAAAAAATTCGATCTTAGCTTTTATAAAATTTTTTGAACAAATAAAATCCATCAGCTTTGAATTGTAAACTAAACTGAGAAAAAGTTTTTCGAGCGCAATTTTTTTTATAAATGAATTTTAGCCCACGCTGAATATTCCATGAATAAAAAAAAAATTTATAAACTTCTCATTGTTTGATGGCTTAGTGTGAACCCACAGCGAAGATGACAAAAATTGTATTTTGTCGGCCGCCAAGAAAACATTTCTGTATACCATTTGTGTCGTGTTACGACTCATTTGGAATGGATTGAATAATAACAAGTAATGTACTCTTGCTCTATACGAAACAAACAACGTTTTGTTGTATTCGGTGTGGGCTCACACTTAGCTGGCCATTTTACAATAAAAAAATAGAGCTTAATAAAATACCATTGCAGTAAAGTTTCAATTAATCGGGTGTTGTTTTAAGCCCAGACCAGTACTGTCTTAAATTGATGTAATTTTGTTAATATTCAAACGTTAATAAATTTATATTTTAAAACTTTGTGAGACAATTTTAGTTAGCCACCTCAATTTGCATGTTTCTACATATTTATTTGCTACTCAACTTTATCTTGTTTTCAGTTGTTATTTTTAAGTGAATTTTTAGTAGATTTTTTTTAAATGTTCAACACGGTATCTTTAAGAACTTTTATTTCTTTTGGGTTCTTACTTTTCAAATAATAGTTTATTCGAAAAAAAAACAAATTAAATTTATTTTATTTGTTTTTTGTACATTTTCTTTTTATTTGAATTTATGTATTTGTTTTTTCATATTCACTATTTTTTAGCAGAATAATTTAAAATTTTTTTTAGTTCCTTTGTTTAAAAAAAATGCGTAAATTTGTTTCAATCATTTTTTATTAAAACATAATTTGCCGTTTTTTTAGAAAATCTTCTTGGCAATTGTCTTTTTACATATTTTCTACAAATTGTTTATAAATTTTTTTATAAGAATTTGTTTAATTATTCTTCTTTTTAATTTTACCATTCTTTTTGTTAATTTTGACCATGAGCTTATATGCGAAACGAAATGAAATCTTTAATATTATTTTCAACATATATTTTGTTTGCAAGTTTTTAAAAAGCTAACTTTTTTATTTTTATTTAAATGTGCAAATTTTTTGTTGATACTAATTTTAGCAGAAGATTTTTATTTTTTGTTTCTAATTTTGCTTCTTTTATTTTTCTCTTACCTTTCTTAAGTCTTAAAAAATTTTAGTTTAAAAAAATATTTTGGTTAAAACCCATTTGTTCATTTAGTTCTACTTTCCAGTTTCACATTTCACATCTAATTTTCGCTTAATTAAGTAAGTGAAAAGACATAAGTCTCTTCTTATCTGTTTCTTCTTAATGTAGATATATATTGAGGTTTAAATGTTTCCTGCTTTTCCTAAGTTCCCTTAAAGACTTTATTTTTGAACTGTGCAGAATCTAATTTAATTTTTCTATTTGGCCTTTTCCTTTAACGCCTTGTCAGTTGTATACCAAAACAATTTTTTTTTCTTTTCGTTCGCATATTTCACTGCTTAAAATCGCCGCCTTTAAAGAATACATATTTCATCAAAAAAAAAAAAGAATAATGTTAAGAATGCCATTTTGTCTTGAAGGATTTTTTGAACATACTTATTTATTTTTTTTATTCTTTCAATTTCTCTAAATAGATTAAAATTTTAAAATACATTCGTTGCAACACAGAAAGGTTAGCTTTCCCTAGAGGAAATGTTGACAACTTTCCGCTTCAAATATTAGTAAAAAATTTTAATTTTTTAATTTTGTTTTCAAAATATTAAGTCTTAATTTGTTAGGATATTTATTCTTACTTACTAAAATATTTTTTTGCAATCATTTATAATTGATTTTTAGTTTCAATTATTCTTTTAAAAATTGTGGGCTCTAAAGTACTTCTTAAGATTCTTAAGTGAGTCTTTTTCGTCTATAACAGTGCCAGGCAACCAGTAGTCACGCGAGGCTAAGGGCGCTTTGTTTCTTGTATCATTAACGGTAAAAGAGCCTTTATTCTTCGCGTGCCCATATAAAAAGGAAATACATAGCGGGAGAAGCTATTTAAAGCTTTCTATAGGCTCTAATCAGTGATGCTCAGAGAGAGCTTTTACTCTGGATGAGTCTTTGAAAAATCTATAAAAGTTAAAAAGAGCTTTGCCCCGGTCTGATCAACGGTTTATAGTAAAAACCCCTCTCTGGTCGTGATTTTTACATAAATGTATGTAACACATTGCTGGCCAAGGAGAGCTTTTACTTTACACGAGGGCAAATAAAATATATGTAACAAAAGCTTTAAGTAGCTTATTTCACTGAATTCGTTTAAATCGTGATTGTTTTGTACACAGAAGGCAAAGAATTAAATCCTTCTCGGGCCAACACCAAAGTCTAAGCCACTAAATCTCCGCTCAAAAGCTCTTAATTCCGCGTGAAATCATTTTCAAACCACAACCATTTCCTACCAAAACCACCCACTTGCGCGTCCTCGCTTACGCCTAAGCTGTTACATGAAGTTTAAAAAATAATAAAAGCGCAGTTAACGCTTCCTTCTATAAAGGGGAAAGAGTATTTTTCAGCAAAAAGATACAAATTTAAAAAAATATTACAGATTTTTTGTTTTTTGATTTTTGTTTATTGCTGCTGAACAGGAAATACTTTACCCCCTTTACATTAGCAAGCATAAATGGCGCGCAAAAGCAGACTTTTTTCTAGTATAATAATGCTTTTTTTACAAAACTTACAATCGATGGACTTTTTTCAGTGTAATTTTTTATTAAATATTTAAGCATAAAACAAAAACCGCAAAGTCAAGATAAGGCAGCGAGCCGACAGAGTGAGCAAGCTGCCTATCTACATACATACTTACATATATGCAAATGGCTTTGCGGTCTTGGACAGATGGACTTTTTAATGTTTAATAAAAAAAATAGTAGAGCGTAATTTTTATACTAAATAAAATACATATGTAAGGCATATGTAGTTGTAGGAGTATTTGTGAAAATAAATGGAGTTGCATGAAATGGCGTGATGGTGGTTTTTTTAAATTTCCTGCTAATCAGATTTCCACTTTTCAGTTAAAATTAGAAAATATTTAAAATAAATGAAAAATATGTGTAACTAGTATAAAAATTTATTGCGTAAGGATAAAATTGTTAAGTACTAGCTATAAAATAAAAAAAATTAAAAAATTCAGTTGCAAAAGCGGAGTTAGAGCAAACAAATTTTGCAAAAATGCTAATATTTAAATATAGCAGAAATACAAAGAATGCTTAAGAGACGTGCATGATTTTGCTAAAAAAAAACTTGTAAACAAACTAATTATTAAATTAAAAAATTTGTATGTTTTTTTTTATTAAAAATATTTTTTTTAATTATGCGTGCACCGTTACCAATCATGTGTTTACAAATTTCGCGCGCAAAATGTTAAAGAAAACAGTTTTATTAAAAATTTTTGAAAAAAAAATGCTAAAAAGGTACGTAGTGAAAAAATATGTAAAATTTTTAAGAAAAAAATGTATGATAAAAATTGTAATTAACAAAAAAAAATTTGAAAAAAATTAACTAAGAAAAAATATTGAAAATAATTTGTGTATAAAAATATGTTTTAAAAATGTAGGTAAACGAAAATTTGTGTATAAACAAAATATACTTAGAAATTATGTGCAAGAAAATTATTAATAGAAATGTGCAAGAAAATTATTAATAGAAATTATTTAAAAGAAACTGCAAAATTTAACAGCAGCTATTAGCTCGCAAACAAAAAATATATATAGATATATATGTACATATGTATGTTCATATGTATATGCAATTAAGTACTAAGTATATAGTATGTTATGTATATGTTATTTGTATGTGTATATGCGAAAAATCTTAGCCAGTAAGCATGACAACCATATATATTATATACATATATATACACACATACATACATACATACATTTATAGATATCTAAATATATGAGAAAAGTGAAAATAAATAACTAAACAAAGTTGTAGTTGTAAATCAAGCATTTGTACAATACTTATGGAGTGTACTTTTTTGTTCTTTTCTATGTAGTTAAGGGGGAGTAGAAAGAAGAAGCAGAGCAGCAGAGTAAGAGAAAACCAGCAAAACCACGCCCACATGCCTATAGGTATACATACACATGCCGTTGCATAATACAGCTCTATATATATATATATATATCGATATATGTAGATAAGTGTATGTATACAAGCATATACATATGCATACATATGCATATACAGTTAAACATAAGTGCATATACATACATAAATAAATAATTATTAATTTAATAAGTGATTGAGATAAAGCGTATATGATCCTATATTTATCTGCTAAGTGCACACGCGCATACATACACCTACACCAATATGCATATAGCATTTAGTATACATAAACAGCTAGCATACATATTTACATATAGGCATAAATATATTAAAAATATATAACATTAAGTGAGCATACATACCTAATTCACATACATACACACACATACTGACTAGCTCTTAATTTGAATTAGTTTATTGAAAACTCATTAAAAAAAAAGAAATATGTGTTAGTGCACACAAGCAAATAATAAAAAAATATAAATACATATGTACATGTGAAATACATTATATACATACATACATACATACATAATACATATAAAGTGCGCATATGTTTCCACACACACACACATACATACATGCTAATGTATATTTTTTAATTTTAGTTCAAACACATTTACATACATACATAAATACTAGCCAGTAGCTGTGGATGTTAGCATATAACAAGCATACATGTTAAACTACATATATACATAAATACATGCATACATATGTACATGTACTATATCATTTAACTTTTAGTTTTTTTTTTTTAGTAAGTAAGTCAATGAAGCAAATTTTTAGCTGATGAAATGCCGCCTATGTTGTATTCTGATGTAAAGTGTTGTAGTCTGTTAAGTGTTTGCTTTAGTTTTTGTTTTTGACTTTGTTTCGTTTAAATGTCTGTCATTACTTACATACGTACATACATACAAGCAAACTAAATACATAGAAAACATTTATTAATAAAAAAAATTGCATTCTAGCATTTTTATGTCACTATCAACATCTTCACCATATACATATGTATGTAAGTAGGTACACCAACCATTCAAACTTTTTTCCACTTTAGCTTTTAAGCTTTCCCAATGTTCAGGATTCCAAAAATAAAACGATCTTAAATTCCATATTTTCCGCCCTAAATTCACTATGAGCCAGCAAACTTTTACAGCTAAAACTCTGCTCTAAGCAAATTGAGCTTCCACAAGAAAGAGCTTTTACAATCAAAAGCTTTGAGAAGAGTGAGC